TAGTGTAATTTTCTTGTATCGGGTTTTTGGGGTTGTAGGTGGAATTTGGCCGAGCGGCTTTGGAACTAGGTGTGTATTAGTAAGATATGTAAGCATGCTAAATTTCAAGCCAATCGGAGTTCACACGAGCCCTGTAGGCCACCGAGTGACTCCTCGCCACTTAGGACGTCTACACCTGCCACACCAAAAATGCCTTATATACCTTAGGGGGGACCAAGTAGTCATCAAACCTCCCCCCAACCAAGTGTTGTATACTTTCTTGCAATCAAAGCTTTCTTGCATCTAATGTCTACAATGCTTGTTTTAAAGATGTTTTCAACTGTTTTTCTCTCACGTTTTCTAAAACCAATTTTCTCCTAAAACGTGAGCGAAGGCTAGACCCACGACCGAGATTGTCCGCAACTTACCGTTTTTCCCGGCTGACTTGCTCGTTTGAGCTAGAGCAAGTGCCGCACAATCGCTCGAGCTACTTTGAAAAGATGCGATTGTGACACTCGGCGTGTATCGAACAAACAGTTGAGTTGAAACCTACAAAAAACATGTTCTTCAAAACCAATTTTTCTGCTCGACTAAGCATCCAAGGAACAAAGAGGTATCAAATTGAACAAAAAAGTGCATGCAAATGAAGCGTAAACAAAATTTAATTCTTCATTTTCTCTGCAAAATAGCTGTTTCTCCATATGGTTTACTTCATATTATTGTAGACAAGAAGGAAAGTTAAAGTGCTAGTTCATGCCAACCAAAACGACTAGCATCAATATTTACAACACCTCATCCTAGAAAAACCTATCAAAAAACTTCTTCCTAACTCTCTTCCTGCAATTATTTTGTACAGAAGAACACGCAAAAATTCCGAGTCGGGTATTATGGCATGCTGCACTAACAAGTTAGGGATCTTTCGGAGCATCGTCCTACTCGAGAGCACAATCGAGTCTCAATCAACAACTGATCAACTTGCTTCTCCTCCTGTAGTACTTCAAGTAGTCATGAGCACTCTGCTTGAGACCCCCAAAATGTTTGTAGCCTTCGGTCAAGCAGACGGGAAATTTCTCAATGTGGCTTGTTGTATTGTTTTGAAGATGGTTCTTCAACTTCTCCTAAGAACAGGAAGAACAGTCAATAATATGTTTTCCCAACAAAGAAATGTCAACGCAGGAGGAAAAGATGGAAATTTACCACGTTAACCACCTCCAGACCAGTGCTGTTATCACTGTTATTACCTGCAGAAGTTCTGCCGAAAAATATGCGAATCAGGAGTATAACAAGCAGGCTAAAATAAAGTAATGTAACATTTTTGTGTTCGAGGTAGAAAAAGGAGTGCAAGCAAGTTCAACACAAACTGAGGAACGAGAAAGTAAAACTCACTAACATTTGGTTTTCTCTCGAGAAATCTAGCTTTTCTTTTTTTGATATCCATGAGTGTTCCGAACAACTTGCATGCACTTTTACTAATTTCATGGGACAATTTTCTCACCCTACTGTATTTGGTTGCTAAGGAAACAGGTCTCGGCGCCTCTAGAAAGGAAACCTTTTACATTTTTCATTGGCCCCTATTCACCTCTAAATCAACCTATGGTGGTTATATACAATACCATAACCGATGCCTTCTCTCAAGAAATCCTTTTTATTTACCAAACATTATTAATCTGCAACCAATCATCACATCTAATTACATATATGTGCCACGATTGTCCTTAGAAATCTCAAATTGAAAAACATATTTGATGTTTTAATCACAGCTCTAGATCTGAGACAGCTTGGCACTTTCGTTGGAGATAGAACCACTTCTTTGGCAACAAACAGCTAATGGTAGATGCAATTGGATTCTATTTTTGTAAAATTAGTTTGAGTAATAAAGGGGAGAAAACGTACTCCGCTTGTCCTTGACTCATGATACCGCTCTCCTCGGTATGTGGCGTCAGATGAAATTCAGTTATCACACTGGATGCACAAGCATTATCAGTACTATTGCTGGTTTTGTTGACATCATCATGAAGTTCAGAATTCCCTGCCAAATATTGTAATAGAGATCTCACATGACAATCAAGTACGTATTTTTACCCACACTTAAACTAAGCCTGTGAAAAGATTTAAGGTACCTGTTAATGAGTAAGGTGCAACTGTATTCTTCAGCAAGAATTTCTGGCACATTACAGTTTCCTGGAAGTCCAGGAAAGTGTAATTAAGAAACTCTAATCTCTCGGAATCAGTCATCCTCGAAAATCCAAATGAAGTAGTCCATGCATTTAACACACTAGAAACAGCCGGCAAGACCAGCCTCTGAACTCCCAGATCTCTTAGTCTCTGCAATTACATGTGGAATATATGAGCAATATAATAATCTCCAAGCACAAGTAACACATAAACATCAACTTGACGATGTCATACTGCAACAAACTAACAAAAAAATGGTAGTTATTATAAGCCATTTGAATACAACAGTCATATCCGTTCTCAAAGACATTTGGGAAAATAATAAGTTGCTAAAAGGAAAAAATGAAGGAAATGAAGTAAAGCATATGGGTGTAAAGAGTGTAGCTACCTCTTCAAGCTCATTCATCAAGATGCGACACATGCCAAGTCGGCGATACTGAAAACGTGTGCCAACAAGGGGTATTTCTGCCACCTTCTCTCCATATACCCTTCAGTTGTACTCCCACATCAGAAATAGAATAGGAATGGAGATCGTAAAGCATAAAAGGCATCTAAAAGGAATGTTTTAGTTCTAGGTCCCACTTTGACTATGATACATGTTCTTACCTTATCGAAGCAACACTAACTAATTCATCATTTCTTTCTAAGAGCACTGTATAGAAACCTTGGAAGTTCAACCGCTTGAGCTCTGACCTGCCAAGCCATAGAGAATAAAAATCAGCTGGACATTGCAAAGTAATCATAGCTGTGATCAAGAAGTATCTATTTTTTTTATCACAATTGTCCTGTACTATTCTTAACACCACCTGCCTTCATCCTGAAAAGTGAAAATTATCATTCCAATTTTAAAATTCTCTAATTTAAATAACATATTGCACCAGCACAGATATCCTATCTACATTTTCTTGTATATTTTCAACCAAAAAAAAAAAAAAAATCATAACAAAAATAAGACCGAAAGGAGGTTGCCAATTGCAGAGTAAAGTCGCTGCGACATTAAGAAGCATCTTTTTAGCAACCATCAATCCAGAAGCCAAAATGACCGTAAATTAAATGTACTAACTAGAAGTACTTCTCACCTTCTGCTAAAAATGACATCCTCTACAATGTCTCTGCTCGTGTAATGTTCCTTAACAGGTTCGAAACATTCATGCATCACAGAGAGGGCGACATTAAGCTTGCTCTGGCTTTCTGTTAAGGTCTCAACATGAGAAGGATTGAAATAATGAGTATCAGAATTTGTGGGCTTCAGTAGTGACCAGGTAAGATTGTCACCCACTGGAATTGATTTTCCCAGTAGCCTTTGGAGACCCCAATGTATCTGAACCCAGAAAAGAATGACAAAATATTTACTAAATGATTTTCATAATGTTATTTACACTTAAACACAGCAAGAATTGCTCCGCACAACAATATCATTAATGCATCTCGATGTCTTAAATTTCTTAGAAAATTGATTCTTGATGTAGGCAAATTATGCAGGTAAAGTGGAGAAACAACACTAAATTCCATAAATTATCTAAGATTCCATACTGACTTCTGTTGAAAGCAGCCATCCGTTGTTACTTCTCAGAACCTCATTCCTCCAACAACCATAATTACTAAAGTCAATTGAATATTCATTTTGGTTAGAAAATTGGAGCATCCATTTAATCTACTTTGCTTCATCCTACCCTTCATTAATCCGTTGTTCTATATCAAATGGCTCTCTTCCTCACTGTAACCATGTTTAGGGGACTTGAGACGATATCCAGCCTAAAATCCAGAAAAGAAAATAGACCTCAAACACTGAAGATATAATTTGGTAAGAAATAAGTTTATTTGCACATATTAGAATACTATCTGCTCTTAAGGCGGTTGCAAGATCTTTATGAAATACCATCATTCCACAAGGCCAAGGATAATAGATAAATAAATGAAATGTAGGAGCCCTGAAATATTTTTGTGACATCATAACAATCAATGACTTCTCAGTTAACTATTATAAAATACAAGATGCAGTAGTAAGCTCACGATGATCCACCTTTTTAAATAAATGAAGAAGGGGTGAGAACTACCTCTTTACAATGTTTGTTACAAAACCAATAGGTTTTAGGATAGCTTCCGATGTTTTGGGACCCCTTGATTCCTAGGCAATTAACATGATCTGCACAAAGGAACACCCAAGCATTAAAGGACAATATTTATGGTTAATTCTTAAAAAATATGCATGTTCTTATATTATGAAAGCTTTCAAGGTGAAGTACCTACATTTACGCTCACACTGATAACAAGTGAGGAAAGGGTCGTCAACAACATTGGTGTGTTCATTCAATTTGTTCCAGCCACAAATGCCACAACAACACGATGGACAAAACCAATCACCTTCAGGAATGTCCTAAAATAGTCAACAGTTAACTAATTTCAAATTCCTAATATATTAAACTGAGAAACTAAGAAGAGGAATATCTACCTTTAAACCAAGGCAGCATTGGTGGAATGAAGATGGACACTGATCACATAAAATTAATGTGCCTCCAAAGTGACAAATTGAACAGATATAGTCATTCTCACCTTTAGAATCGCCACCTTTCCTACAACCAACTGCTTCTCTTTTGAAATTCCTGGCTTTTTTATTGCATAGTATCTGGCATTCTAACAAAGATTTTCCATCTTCCAAAAGTATATTTGCAGCTGAYCTAGATGAAGTACTGCCAGCATGAATTTCAAAACCATTGACAGTAAATACCTTCCGACAGCAGCAGCATTTGATCCCATCACGAGATATCCTTCCTTCAGCCATTGGTCGATGACCCTTCCCTCTACAGTAGTAAACCTTTGCCCTTGGCAACACCATATTGTTGTCTATCAACCAGGAGATCACAGTTCTAGGGTTGTGGTGTGAAGGACTTGGAGTGACCACCTCATGCACTCTTTTTCTTGAGCGTGACACACGCACTGACCTCCTATGTTCCATATAATCTGAAAACTTATTGACACCCACAGATACACTTCCTCTGTTCAAACTTTGCTTAGCTGCTCTACAATTCCTTATGCGCCTCACATACTTCTTGCATACGGACTGGATGTCTGATTTATATTCTTTACCATCTAATTTATGCTGGCTTTGAAGCAAGTGAGATGAAAAATCAAATAAATTAGCCAYGCTCCTCAGTTTTTTAGTCCTTTGAAATTTTTCACGACTAAATTCCACAATATCTTTGGATGGAGACGTTCTAGGAGACTCTCCAAAAAATGTTCTAATTGAAGTTGAAGGCATTGAGCATTCCTGTGAATCCATATTACTTGGTGCAGAGTAAAATTTATTTCTAACAATCTGGCCCTCACCCTTTATTACATATATATTTCCAGTACGTGTACAAGCAGACTTAGTACTTTTATAGACCCCTTCTTCATCTAAACAGATCTTGCAGGCTGTTAAAAGTGACGAACAAGCTCTGCCTAATGGTGAAGTGTAGTACCATCTTTTCCTGCCTTTTTTTCCTTTGTTGTTGTCGATCAAATGCCATCCCAAAGATAATAGATCCTCCCTTGCTTTCACTTGCATTTCAAACTCATTCTCCATTCCATTACTGCCTAACTTACTCAAATTATAGTAGTCCATGACAGCTTTATGCAAAAATTCAGGTTTTTCTAAAACGACACCAGAACCATCAAGAGTAGTTTGAGAGCAATTGTCAGGACTTGAACTACTTTCTCTCTGTTCAAGGACCCTAGATGGGAAAATTGCATGACATGGGTCATGCATATTTCTCATTTCATCTTTGGAAATAGGTGGAGGGATCTTGGCAGAGGGTTCTGTCAAGAGCTTGCACACCTGACGAAGAGAATAGAAACACTTCCCATCGGGATGGGTATACCTAAACCTAAGAATACGCTTCCCTTGACTACAATCAATTTTCCAGCCAAGATATAAAAGATGATTCCTTGCATTATCAATTAAGGTTTGTGTAGGCTTTTCTCTACCCAAAAGTAAATATTCAGTAACAGCATCTGGGCATAATGCAGCATCAGGAAGGATCGTAGCACTAAGAGATGTCCACTTCTGGGAGTTCCTACGTCCTGAACATTTCAGCTGTTTATTTACATTTTCATGCTCGATAATTGGAAGTTGATTGCTAATGGCACCATCACCAGAAAATCCCTCAGCATCAGAAACGAAGGATGATGATGCTTTAGACAGCATAGACAATGCTTCATCGTGGGACGAAAGACCTAAATCATTTGAAGTTTTCATTTTGGTCTCATCATCCAACTGATATTTCTCTTGAGCTAGATGAATATTAGTAGAATTTGTACCAGAATCCATCAACTCTGTATCCAAACCATCATGCTTGGACACTTCTTCCATTTCCAAACCACAGGCATCAAATTCATTTTCTTGATTGAAATCATCACTAGTTATCATATCACTTTTTGCAGATTCCCCTTGAATTGCAATAGCATCAAAGTCAACTAAGTTGGCCAAAGGACTCTTACTGATACAAACATTAGCTTTAACAAGTGCACTTCCTACACTGGAGGGAATGTCWAAAACCCGAAGCATTTCCTTTAGAGTAATTTCTAAGTTTTCATCAATGACCTCCGTCACCAATTCCTTCCACAAATCGTTCATAGGAAAAGTCCACTCTCCAATCTTCATGAAATCCTTTTTTGCCCGTACTTCATACCATATTTGCTTCAAAGAAACAGGAAGGTAGGATTCTTGTTCACATTGATCAATTAACTCAAGAAACGACCAGGTCCCACGTCTCTGCCAATCCCCTGTAGCCTCATCCCAATCCTGGGTAATACGAAATGCATCAATTCCAACCTTCAGCTCATCACCCAAATCCGGAAAGAAAACCCTTCTCTCTTCCGAACCATCTTCGTGATCAAAAATAACACCTTCCCACCATGCATCCTGGTAATTCACATCAACACACAGCCCATAAGGCAAGCCCCACTTTCCAAAGTCAATCTTCGGTGGTATTGGCCTTATATATCCTCGAAAATCCGAATTCCGAATAGAGGAATTAGCATCATCTAAAACGGCAGAAACGGCAACAGTATCAACAAGGAAATTAGAGCCATCATTGAGAAGAAGATGGTCGTACATGACGTGACGAACTCCATTGCTACACGCAATAACAGTGGCATCATGCCAAGAACCAAGAAACCCGTCTTCCAAACTCCTCACCTGCCATGTTTGACATTCGTATTGTAAAAAACAAAAATCGAAAACAGAGTCTATTATAATAATCACACAACGCAATGAACCGCCACCAACGTACATATATAAACCCACAGAGAAACCCCCAATCTCTTTCCTCAACGAGGAAAAGTACAAAAGAGTATGTAAAACAGGCAAAAAAGGACCATTTTACCATAAAAAGAATCCATATTAAACCTCATAAGTTCTCCAACGAACCCCAAAACAAACACACGAGCAGCGAAGAGAAAAGAGACGATTTATAAAGAAAAAACCCCAATGAGAGAATGCGACCATTAAAGCAAAGAAGGTAGGACGGCGTAAGAGCGGAAAAAAAAAACCCTCTCTACAAAAAAATCAAAACAGCCGTACCCTTGAATTTCCAATCCCAGAACACACGGCCCCATAAAATGCTAAAACGCAGTTGCATTACCTCTACTTTTTCATCAACGATGAGCCTTCTTTCAATTCTGCGCTTCCTCTTCCTCCCATTCCCCGGTGCCTCAAGGTCCCCAACCACCATTGAAACAGAAAGCAGAAGTAGGAGAGGAAACTCGCGGCTAAGGATACGCCTCCGCCTCGAAATTGCCAAAAACAACAAAAAAAGGGAGAAAAGAACAGGAATCCAAATGAAAAAAAAAAATAGAGAGAAAAATCAGAATGTGAACAAATAAAAAAGACGAGAGGTTCTTCCGTTGCAGTGCGATGACTGTTACCACTCTCTGATACTTTGTCAACAAGGTAGCAACGAACACCGTGAAGCGAGACCAAGGCTGCAGCAGATCCCCTGCGGCCGTGCCCACGCTAATTGATTTGCAACTTTGAAAATGATTGGTCCACCACATCAATCGTGTTACGTGGCGCGTGGAGACGGTCCTGTAAAATACTCCTGCACGCACTGTCTCGTCCCTCTCGTAATCCCATGCAGTTTTGGAAAATTTAATGGTTTTAAAAATGAATTCCAAAAGTGTGATTTGGTGGGAGAGCGCGCACACTAACAATATGGGATTCGATTAATGGACCGCTCAAAAGGCTTCTCGATTTGGAAGCGGATTTTGTTGCAAATCTTTTATTTTACTCAAGATATATTATATACGGTTTAATTATAAATTACGCAATATTAGCTTAGCTAAGTGGTACTGTTTTTTATACCGTCTCTTTATGCCTAACATCCTTGCTTTGCTCAGGCTCATCACGCTTCTTTGTTCTACGTTAGAAGATTCTCAACCACCAGTTACATTGTGGAAACTTGGTGTCGACCACTATTGTACTCTCATCTTCTCAATCAATCACTACTGCACCCTCAAAGTCTATCCTTCGTGTCTTCTCAAGCTGGTATTGATCGTAAAATATCATGAACACTAAGATGTTTGGTTCGAAATTTAAAATGAAAATTTTTATTTACCTATTCTTAGTCGTGTGAAACAAATTAGGAAATAAGAAAGATCCTAAAAATAAATATAAGTTTTAAAATAGAAAGAAAAAGTGTGATGAAATATATGAAACTTGTTTTAAAAATTTTGACCTTTTTTCAAACCTGAAGACTGAAAAATTGATTGGGTTGTTAACCAAAAGTTTGACCTAATTCATTACTGTATTTAGAAAATAAAAAAATAATTAATTCTTTAAATTCTACCACCTCGTAGATTTATCAACAATTTTAATATTTATTAGACAGGCATCCTCGGGTGTTGGCGTAGTGGCAAGAGACTTAGGTGTTGACAAATTAAACCTAACATAATATTTATTAATCGATATATATATATATATATATATATATATATAAATTTTTTACCAAATAATTGATTGATATTGATTTGATTTTGCATATCTTTCACAATTAGAGAATGATCCCAATTAATTTATGATTTATTCTCAAATTATCAGATCAGATATCGGAAAAAATTAAATATAAAAAATTAATAAGATGACATAAAATTTTATGAATAGAAAAAACGTAAATTGATTGATAAAATATTATACATCCATAAATTAAATACATATTATAAATATAAAATATTAAACATTTAATAAAATACAAAAGTTTTAAAATTTTAGAACAAGAATAAATATCGAGGATGAGGAACATAAAACAAAACACATAAAAATAAATTAACAAAAAAAACAAAATCATATTTAAGAAATTGGGAGAAATATGAAAGTTAGCTAAATTTTATCCCAAAAGGTAAATACGACAAAATTCATTTAGTACGAGTGAGATATTCAAGTGGCATATTTATTGATCTAAATATGTTAATGAAAACAATAATTTAATATCAGTATAACAAATGTGTGAGCAATGAGAATAGAAATTGAACCTCTAATTTTAAAAGAAGTTAATATCAATATAACAAATGTGTGAGCAATGAGAATAGAAATTGAACCTCTAATTTTAAAAGAAGAGTAGAGTTCAAGTTGGTGTCAATTTATTTTTTATTGATCTTTTTTTAGTTCAACCTTTACATCAAAGTGAATTGAATCATATCGACTTTTGAAATAATAGTAGTGTTGGGTTTGTAAAGAGGGCAAACAAAATTTTATATTCGTTAGAGATAGAGTGATCCATGGTATATAAGAGAGGACGATTATCTCAATTGATATGGTATTTTTTTTATGAAACATAAAACAAAGTCGTGAAGTTATGTCCAAAACGGACAATATCATACCGATCTTTTATGTGAAACAAAAAACAAAATTGTGARAGTTATGTCCAAAACGAACCATATAATCATTAAAATACAAATTGTTGTGAATGATTTAGTGAAGAGTTTCATTTGGTATTTTAAAAGACTAACCAACCTTACGTGTATAGCACGTAATTTTATTGTTTTGAAATACTATTTGTTGATATGATTTAAAATCTATACAATAAAATATAAAAAGTGAGAAGTAAGTATGGTTGAGCCRATTGATAACTATTTTTTGAAATAAAGTACATTATTAATTTTTTAATAATAAAATAAAATAAAGTCTTATAAGTAAAAAATAAAACACTAAAATAAGTCATATGAAAGGGTAGGAACATATATGGTAAATTTTCATAATGTCTACAAATATTTAACTAACATTAATTTCGTAAATTTGAAGGTAAACAATTTAAATTTATTATGATCAAAGTATAACAACTTAAATTAAAATATGCTCTTCAAAATTTAAATAGTCAAAGTATTTATTAGATATGTAAAACTAAAATGGAATATAAAAATGAGAGAAATTAAAAGAAAAAAAATTCAATTTCGTTCTTCTTTTAAGCCATGTTTAAGGTTTAAAATTCAATAATATTATGAAATTTTTATGTGTGATTTTTTTAGTGCAACATAGATTCAAATTCACAATATTTTAATTAAAGATAAATG